AGTGTCTGAGATACAAACCAGTGCCTGCATGAGATGGCAGAGGCTTTGACTGTTATGCTACAAGGCAGGCCCATCAAAAAAGTGTTTTTGAGACTAATCTCACTCACTCTTGTTGTGTCACATTTTCCACCCCAGCAGCATCCCAGATCTTGTAGTTCCCCTTAAATCACGACACTTTATGTGTTGCTGTCTTTTCCACGCTATCTCTAGTGCCCAATCTATCACCGTGCTTCACCTTTCCAAACCTTCTTGGGATTGCCCCTGTTGTAAAGTACTTTGCTTCAGCACCAGTTCATGTCCTGGCTGCTCCACTTCCATGCTAATCCCATTGGCCCCACTTCCCTCCAGCTCCCTGCTTGTGGCCTGGGAAAGCAGTCAAGGACGGCCCAAAGCCTTGGGACCCTGCACCTGCATGGGAGACCCAGAAGAAGCTCCTGGCTTCAGATTGGGTCAGCTCTGGCCATTGCGACCACTGGAGAGTAAACCGATGCATGAAAGATCTTTCTGTCTCTGTTCCTCTCTGTAAATCTTCCTTTCCAATAAAAATAAATAAATCTTAAAAAAAAAGTACTCCCCTCTGACTTCACTGTTACCTTTGTTAGAAGTTATTGACAGTATGTGAGAATAAAAAAGGCTACAAAGGCACTTTGTTAAATCAGTAAGTATTATATGAAACATAACAGCTTCTAATACTAATTATAGTAATTCCTTTGTTTTCATTTCAAACCATTGCTTGTGCTTTCATTTCCAACCATTTGCAGTAAATTTTATAGGCCATAGCAGCAGAGTTAGCTCTAATGGAGTAAGGGACTGAGGTACTCTTTATTTTATTTTATTACATTTATTTTTGATGATGTTAACATAGTTGAATAGGGTGGGAAAGGTGGAGGATCAGGAGAAAGTGAGACGATTATTTCCACATTTTTTTTATTAATTATGTTTATTTTTGCTGATAGTTGATTAGGGTGGTAAGGGTCATGGGCTGCAGGAAGGTGGGTGAGATCACCATTTCCACATTCTCTTTTTCCCCTTCTTTTATCTAGAGGAAGGGGGAGGGATAAGCAGAGAAGCCATTCCCAGCTTCCCAGACACTTCAACACCCTGAGATGGAGGGCAGCCACTCGACACTACCCCAGGGTCCCCGATGTGGGGCATACTCTGAGGGTCCTGCTCAAGAGGTTTTGATAGTTCAACAGTTCTGCATTACTGCCAATTTCGCCACTCCAAGAGTGACAAAATCACTCCAGTACGCCCTAGACTCTCCATTTGCCCAGATATTCACTGCTAATACATGGCTGGGGTAGCTGATTAATTTATTCTGTCCACTGTTGTGGTAGCAGGTGTCCTCTGCAGGTTCCAATGGACTGCCATATCTTCCATGGGCACCTGGATATGCTATCCACTGCTCCATGTAAGGCACTGTGGAGGCTCAGCTCTGACACATGCACTCCATGGCAGACCATGGCACCTGCAATTTTCTTCATGAATGGGGTCCTGAGTCCAGCGATTCAGTTGGGGGAATCCCCAAAGTAACTCCATCTGAGGTTGATCCCTGACTTGATTCTTGTGTATACTTGCCAATACAAGGTCCAGCACAGTCTGTCCCCCCAGTTAGCTTATGCACATGCTGATGATTGCTATTGCTGGGTCAGTTGTCTCCAGCCTTGTCTTTTACACAAACCAAAGTGTGTTGCAGCACAGCCCAGTCTTGCCCACCAAATACTTGGCCCTTACACAAACCAGTGGGAGCTGCAGCCTAGTTGGAGCAACCAGCAATAACCCCCACCAGTCCTGCCCTCTGCACTGTTTCCCATGCCTACTGGTATGCACAGCAGACTGGTCCAGTCTGTCCCACAACCCATTCAGCTCTCATACATGTCAATGGGTATTGAAGTCTAGTTCAATCCAGCCAGCTTCACTATCCAGCCAGCATACCTTCCTCCTGTATCTGAGGAAAAGGGAGAGATAAGAGGAGAAACCACACCCAGCTTCCCAACTGGCTCAGTACCTGGGGATGGTGAATGGCTACTCAGTGTCATCCCAGGGTTCCCAATGAGGAGGATGCTGCGAGGGTTCTGTTCTAGTGGTTTCAATGGTTTGACATGCCATTGATCTCGCAGATCCAAGGATGAGGATATCCTTCCATCCATTGACTGACATAACCCACCTTAGAGTCTCCGTTCACCCATAAATTTGCTGTCAAGTTTTGTTAGGGAGGTTGTCCAATTTGTTCTGCCCTCCTTCCTCTGCTATGGCACCAGATGTATAGGCTCCCATGGACTGTTGAATCCTCCATGTGCTTCTGGGTATGCCATCCATTACTCTGTCAAAGTCACTGAGGAGGCCCAATTTTTTTTTTAAGATTTATTTATTTTTATTACCAAGTCAGATATACAGAGAGGAGGAGAGACAGAGAGGAAGATCTTCCGTCCAATGATTCACTCCCCAAGTGAGCCACAATGGCCGGTACTGCGCCAGTCCCAAGCCGGGAACTAGGAACCTCTTTCAGGTCTCCCACGCGGGTGCAGGGTCCCAAAGCATTGGGCCGTCCTCGACTGCTTTCCCAGGCCACAGGCAGGGAGCTGGATGGGAAGTGGAGCTGCCGGGATTAGAACCAGCACCCATATGGGATCTTGGCACATGCAAGGTGAGGACTTTAGCTGCTAGGCCATGCTGCTGGGCCCGGAGGCCCAGTTTTTATGCATGCACTCCATGGTCAGACCATTGGTCCTGCCACTCTCCCCATGGTTGGAGTTCTGAGTCCAATGGTTTAATTGGCAAGATCCTCAAAGAAATCCCGTCTGAGGTGTTCTCAGACCTATTTCTTGTATGAGTACCCGCCTGCATGGGGTTCAGTTCATTCTATCATCCATATCAGCCTGCATCCACCCTGGTAATTGCAATTGCTAGGTAAGATGTATCTCCAGCCCCATCTTTAACACAAACCAGTGGGTGCTGTGGCCCAGCCCAATCCTGCCCACCACACACGTGCTCATCACATAACACCATCAGGAGCTACAGTCCAGTCACAGTGACTCCCAAAAGCCCCCACTGGGCCAACGCCAAGCCCCAGTTCCTGTGCCTGCCAGCATGTGCAGTGGACTGGTCTAGTCTGATCTGTCCCTTTCAGCTCTCACACACATGATTGGGTGTTGAAGTCTAACTCGTTTTAACCAACTCCACCTTCCAGCCCACACTCATGCCAGCAGGTGCCACTGCTTGTCTAGCCAGGCCCTCCCCTAGCCCCGGTTCTCATGCTCACCTTGGGAGCTAGAACCCATTAGAAAAGTACTGTTTCCCTTCTAGATCCACAGTTTTCCTTCTGGACACACTTCTTACCCCAGATCCTGCACTCTCCACGTGATTCTGCAGTCTAGCTTGACAGGGCTTGCCCGCAGTCCCAGCCTTGCCAGGCAATGCTGCAGCAAAGCCCAACCCGTCTGCACTCACTCTGGCTCATGCCCTGGCACTAGTGGATACAGTCGATTAGGCCAGCCTGGTTCTTCCCTTTAATCCAGTTCTCATGCAGGCCAATATGTATTATGGCCCTGCCTGGCCTGGTCTGACCTAAGCACAATTTTAATATCATCAATGAAGGCAGTGCCTGGCCTAGTTATTTGGCAAGTGTGACAGGTCAGTTTCCATCAGTTGAGTTTTATTAGTTATTGAGTAATTATTAATATGACTCAAGCCTTTAATCAAGCAGCCAAAGGACAACCTTGCCCTCTGTGTTATCCCTCCGTTTGATTTCCAAGCACAAAAGTTAGAACATTAAAGAAATAGTAAATCTGAAATCCTGAGAAAATATGCAAAATCAAAGAACCAATTTAGCCTTCAGTGGTAGGTAATTAGCCATAATAAGGGTAATATTTTGGATTATATTTTAATTTTTGCAAAAAAAGAAGAAAGAGAAGAAACCTGAACCTATAATTCTGAAATGATAGCTTGAGTCTTCGAGAATTCTACTCACTTTTCCAACATTTCCTGAACAAACTCAACTCTGCATTACAGCGTAACTGTACATTCTTAGCAACCAGTCTGCATTCCTCTGCCTTACCAGCCCCTTCTTTTGGAAGTCAAAAAAATAACTTAGAGAAAATGCTGTCATGGAATGTAATACATTAAAAGTGGTCGTGTAATGGTTTGGGGTGTGTGTGTGTGTGTGTGTGTGTGTGTGCAGATTGAGTTAAACAGTCATCTCAAGGGAATCCTGCATGAGTTTAGAGATTTCTGTTTGCCTTGTGAAATGTTGAATACGAGTGTTGAAAGCCACAAGGCTCAGGTTCCCATTAAGCAGAGTGAAGCTGGGCAGACAAAAGCTTTTAGTTAGCAGCACCTTTCTGGAGAGGAGGGGCCCCGCACCATCCCCACTTCCATTAAGAAGCAGTGCCTTATTTGAGTGGAGCCGTTCTCTCAGGAAGTACAATATATAGTAAGGGCAGAAAAATAAGCTGAGGAGGAAATTTGATATTGATTTTCTTTTCTCCTGTGAAATTGCCTGAAAGTTCAATGGCTGGCAGCAGGAACCTTGTCAATAGGGCTCCATCTGAGACCACGGTGACATCCGGTGCTCTCCTGTGGCCTTTTAAACCGCCTCCAATGTTGAGTTCTTTTGTGTTTAACTGTCTTTAGTGCTCCAATACTATGATGCTTTTTATTCAGAACACCACAGAGGGAACAATAGACTATAGACTACCAGCTACTGCCCACTTCTGTGTGGTTACATATTAACAGCAAAACAAAACACCAGAAAAAGTAAAGCTGGATGGGACAAGCGGACTGCAGGACTCCACACTGTACAGTAATTTGTCGGTAGTTAGGTTGTTGCTCTGTGTTCCTGGGTTGGAATCACAGAGAGACTGTGACCTAAAGGGAGATTGTTTCTGTCAAACTCATTATGACGGATGTGTATATTCTGTTCATGGTCATTTCTAACAGGTTGTGAACATTTCTGGTATGTAGTTAGCATGCTAAGTTTTTGTGTGGTTTCTATTCTGTAGGGAAGCAATAAGCCGCCTGTGTGAAGCTGTGCCTGGGGCAAACGGAGCCATTAAAAAGCGAAAGGTAAATATTGATGTGGTTTTCTTGTTTGATGTTTCCCTAACATCGTTAACAACAACAGTTGTTCATCCCACCACAGGTCTCTGGCCTTTGTTAGAAGGCACACTCTTTTCCGGACATTGTCCGGATTGGTTGTGTCTCAAGTGGCAACCTGGAGGAAGTGCTTCAGCTTCAGCTGGAAAACAGGTCCCCATTGATCATATCTTTTATGTCATCTCATATCATTCTTCATAGCTGAGATATGCAATCAGCCAAGGTAGCTATCATCAGATGAATGAATTAAAAGAATGTGGTGCATTTATATTATATACAATGGGATATTAGGCATAAGAGGAGTGAGGTCGTATTGTCTACAGCAAAATGAACAAGCCGGAGACATTTAGCAAGTGAAATAAGACAAGTACCACATGTTCTACCTCACATGGAAGGTTAAAAAGACTCAACTTGAATGCAGAATAGTGGTATCTAGAAACTGGGAAAAGATTGGGAGGTCATATAGCAGGTGTCAAGTCAGGGTTTTCTGGAAGGCCTAAGTTTCTCGTGTTACAGGACATTGTGGGGTGACTAAAGTGTACAACAGGTTGTTATATAACATGGATGTGCAGGTAGAAGGAAGGCATGACAAGGCTGCAAACATAAAGGAATATAAAAGGGAAAATGTGGATTACCCTGATTGGATCAGTATACAGGTATGAAAATCTCATACTGTGACCCATACATTTGTACAGTAGTCATTAATCTAAAAGTTTGAGCAGTCAGGTTTCAGGCGCATGGCCTTATTTACCTTTAAACATGATGCCTCATCTGGCTGGGACTCTGTTTTTCCTGTAAGGTTAGAAAGTTCGACCAGGTAACTGGTTTGGTCCCTTCCATTGAAGTGGTTTACAGTGTATGCATCTTGCTTTTTTAACATTTTAGAATGTTTAGGAGTCCTACTCTGTTTACAAATGTAAATATGGATAGGGGAAAACAGGCACGTTGGGGAGATTTCCTTATTGAAAGAAAGCAAAAGTTTCAATTAGACAGATTTGAATTGAAATCCTGCCTTTATCACCTACTAACTGTGTATTCTTAGATGAGCCGTTTAACCTCTTGGCTTCTTGGTTTCTTCATCCATAAGATGAGAGAAAGCACTTAAGTTATAGGGTTATGCAAGAATTGTGTGCAGTGATGTCTATAAAGAACCTGACACAGTGCCTAGCAGATACTGCGTTTTCTACTTTCTATGTTTGAGGTAGCAAGTATTCTTGCTATTACACTATTGGCTCTACAGTGTTGACTTAGTATGAAAAGTCCAAGGGAAAGCTAACACGGGACAACTTACAAATGTATGCCCTGGGGAAGGGCTTTTTGGAGACCCTCTGGCCCAGTGCTTTCATTCTGCCTGCTACTAAACTGCATCAATCTTCAGTGAAGGGAAGGGGAGCGGGTGTTAGGATTCCCAGCTTAGCACTCTACACCCGTGATGTCCTGTGTTATTTTGTTGTCATTATTTATCATTTTACACATGGCTGAATCCAGGGACCCCTGCCCCCCCCCAAGAGACTCAGAGAAGCCATCCAGTATGGGAAACCCTAACAAATGACCTTTGAACTTTACTAAGGACTCCCTGTTCAAGCCTCTTGGACAGACACCCTGGCCCCAGAGTCGCCTCCAGCCCCCTCCCGCCTCTCATCACTTCTTTGAAGTCAGTTTCAACTGGATAATCTCAATAAGTGGATCCTTTATCAAAGATCTTCTTATTTTAGAAGAAGATATTTCACATCCCAAATTAAAACAAAGCAACCCTAATGAACATTAATCCAAAAATAATACCTATAAAGAAAAACGGGAGCAGCATGGTAGCCAAGAGGCTAAGTCCTCACCTTGCATATGGGTGCTGTTTCTAATCCTGGCAGCTCCACTTCCCATCCAGCTTCCTGCTTGTGGCCTGGGAAAGCAGTTGAGGATGGCCCAATGCTTTGGGACCCTGTACCCACGTGGGAGACCCAGAAGAAGTTCCTGGGTCTGGCTTTGGCTCAGCTTAGCTTCAGTCGTTACGGCCACTTGGAGAGTGAATGATCAGACAGAAGATCTTCCTCTTTGTCTCTCTTCCTCTATGTAAATCTGATTTTCCAATAAAAATAAATAAATCTTTAAAAAAGCAAAACAAATTTCTGAGTTAATTTCCTATTATTCAACACTTAATAAAAGTCAGGAACTTTTCCCAGCACTTTACATTTTAAATTAAAATTTAATGAATGAATTTTTATTATTTGAGAGATGGAGACACAGAGAGCATGAAGAGTGTTCCCCTCTGCTGGTTCCCAAGTGCTTGGGCCATGCACAGAAATAGGGTTGCTGTTTTGATTTTCATTTTTGAGGAACTGCCATATGCTTTCTAGATAGCTTATTCATATCACATTTGCACCATCAGAACACAAGAGTTTTTTTTTTAAATTTTACTTCTTTTTACTTTTATCATTTTATGATACAGTTCCATAGGTCCTAGGATTTTCCATATCTACTCCCCAATTCCCTCCCCACTCACTGAGTTCCCCTATATCATTACTATAGTATAATTCTTCATAAACAGTCATAAGTCTATCATTGCTGGCATGGACAATGGCAGAGAATCATGCATCCTATTGTCAAGATACAGAAAACAGTTTCATTGGGAGTCCATCTTTGTCTGGAAGTAGAGATGCAAACTGCATTGCATCCTCACACCTACACATTATAGTTTCTATTACACAGTTACCATGCATCCCCTTAAATGAAAAGCCACAATACAAAATCAACAACAGAAAGAAAAATAGAAATTTATGCTGCCGAGAAGTTAAATAACATGCTACTAGATATGATAGTCTCTGTTACACAGTTACTATACAGCCCTTTAAATGAAAAGCCACAAAACAAAATCAACAGGAAAAAAAAAAGAAAAGAAATTAACAAGATTCTAATTTCTCTACATCCTTGCCAACACTTATTTTCTGGACGTTTTTGGCTAGTTATAAATCTATTCGGGTTTTCTATTTCTTTGTGATTTAGTGTTAGTATTATACTTCTATGAATTTCTCCATTCAATTTGTTGGCATATATTTGATTGTACTCATAATTACTTTTTATTTCTGTGGAAATAATGTCCTCATTTTCATTTCTAATGTTAGTAAGTTATTTTTCCTTTGTTGCCTTTTTTTTGTTTTTTACAGAACAATTTTTAGGCAACTTAATTTCCTCTATTGTTTCTTTCCATGTTTCTCTGCTCTTTATTATTTCTTCCCTTCTTCTAGCTTAGGATTTAGTGTGCTCTTTTTCTAATTACTTAAGCTGTAAGGTTGGGTTTTTGACTTGAGATATTCTTTTTTTTTTTTAGATTTATTTATTTTTATTTTTACTGGTAAGTCAGATCTATAGAGAGATGGAGAGGAAGATCTTCCATTTGCTGGTTCACTCCCCAAGTGGCTTCAATGGCTGGAGCTAAGCCGATCCGAAGCAAGAGCTTCTTCCGGATCTCCCATGTGGGTGCAGGGTCCCAAGGCTTTGGGCCGTCCTCTACTGCTTTCCCGGACCACAGGCAGGGAGCTGGATGGGAAGTAGAGCTGTCAGGATTAGAACTAGCACCAGTATGTGATCCCGGTGCATGCAAGGCGAGGACTTTAGCCGCTAGGCTACCACTCCAGGCCACCACGCCAGGCCTGGGATATTCTTTTTTCATGTGAGGGTTTATAGCTGTACTTGTTTTTTTCTTAGATGCCCTTCTTTTGCTGGATTCCCTAAGTTTCATTATACTGTGTTTATTTGTTTCATTCCCCCCTCTCTCCCTACATCCGTTCCTTCTTTCCTTCACATTATTTTATTTTTTTAAAGGTTTTTTTTTAAAATTTTTTATTACAAAGTCAGATATATAGAGAGGAGGAGAGACAGAGAGGAAGATCTTCCGTCCAATGATTCACTCCCCAGATGACCACAACGGCCAGTGCTGCACCGATCCGAAGCCAGGAGCCAGGAGCCTCTTCCAGGTCTCCCACATGAGTGCAGGGTCCCAAAGCATTGGGCCGTCCTTGACTGCTTTCCCAGGCCACAAGCAGGGAGCTGGATGGGAAGTGGAGCTGCCGGGATTAGAACCGGTGCCCATATGGGATCCTGGTGCACTCAAGGCGACGACTTTAGCCGCTAGGCCACTGCGCTGGGCCCAACCTTCCTTCCCATTATTTTATGAAACAGTTCCATAGGCCCTGGGATTTCCCTTACTCCCTCCCCAAATCCCTTCCTCCCTTCCCAATTATTTCCTCTATATTGTTACAATAGTATAGTTCTTCATAAACAGTTATAAATGCATCATTCTGAGCATGGACCATGACAGAGAGTCCAGCATCCTATTGATAAAGATATAGTTAAGAGTTTCATTGGGAGTCTATCTTTGATTTGGAAATAGAGATGCATACTGCATTGTACCTGCATCGTATGATAGTTTCTGTCACATAGTTAGTATACATCTCCTTAAGAAAAACCATAAAACGAAATCAACACAGGAAGAAAAATGGAAAATTTACAACATGAAGTTAACGAAATGCTACTGAATGACCAATGGGTTGCTGAAGAAATGAAAAAGAATAGCAAAACCCAAAAATATGGAATGCTTCATGAATTTGCATGTCATCCTTGTGCAGGGGCCATGCTAATCTTCTCAGTGTCGTTCCAGTTCTAGTGTATGTGCTGCCAAAGCAAGCACTACGTTGTTTGTTATGAGACTCTGTGCTCATCACCAGTCACCCAGACACAAATCCTGTTGTTTATCCCTGTTTTACAGGGGCTCAGAGTGACTCAATAACTTGTCCAGTCGCTCAGTTGCTGTGTAGTTAGCCAAGTCAAGCTCATGTAGTGTGCCTTCACAATCTGTATTTTTTAAAGATGTATTGATTAATTTTAAGGTTGGTAACAGAGAGATAAAGACACACATAGAAAGAGAGTAGGGTGTGGAGGGAGATAAAGAGAGGGACAGAAAGGGAGAGATAGAGAGAGTTGTGTTATCCATTGATTTACTCACCAGTTGGGGCTGGGCCAGTCCTAAGCCAGGAACTAGGAGCTTCTTCTTGCAGGTTTTCCACGTGGGTACAGTGGTCCAGCTCTTGGGCCATTTTCTGCTGCTTTTCCCAGGCCATGAGTAGGAAGCTGAATCAGTATTGGAGCAGCTGGACTCAAACTGGTGCCCACTGGGATGCTGGCATTGTAGGTGGAGACTTCACCTGCCACAACTCAATGCCAGACCCTGGAATCCATGGTCTTAACCATATTGTTACCTACCTCTCTGAAGTGAGGCTCCCTCATTCCCCTCAAGGGAGCCAAAAACTACTAAAGGTTGATTGATTATGGTCAGTATCTTTGGTTCCATTGGATCATCAGCAGCTGGGCAGCTTAGGATTTATCCAGATACACGAGTTTTGAAATCTAAAACTTGGCAACTACTTAAGGGCTGTCCCTTGACTTAACCATTATGACATCCTGTAAGATGCCATTACCCCATTTTGGAGAGTCTGGGTTTGACTCCAGCCAAGCTCCTGTTTTCAACTTCCTGTCAGTGTGGGTGCTGGGAGGCAGCAGATCATGATTCCAGCAGCAGGTTCCCGCCACCCATGTGGGAAACCAGTGCTGAATTTTCAGCTCCTGGATTTGACCCACTGCAGACATTTGTTGAATGAACCAGAAGACAAAAGCTCTGTTTCTGCATCTCAAATAGATAAATAAGACAATTTGCAGGACTAAAATTAATGAATAGTCAAAAGAAGTGAAGATTCCCAAGAGACTATGTGATATGGAGTCAGAAGAGCCAGACTGCTTAATAGCTGATTAATTAATGTGCATGAATGCCTCACTGTTTTAGAGTTTTTCTTCTTGGTAATGTGAGGATAATCAGACCCTGGCTTGTCTTCTCTCTGCAGTGAAAGTCGGGAAGTGTCCTGCCTTCAGTCTGTCCCATGCTCCTCTCAGTCCCACTCCGAGCCCTTCCAAGGGCCATGGGTGTGCGCAGATTTCTTCCCTCATTCTTTCCTAAAGGGAAAATCCTAGGACAGAACTTGCATTACTCATTTAAAAAGTAAGAATCATAATCCTGTAGTTTGTTAGCACATTGCTGTATATTATGCATTTCCATAATCTTTGCTTCTGAATTAAAATCTTCCAAGGCTATAGAAATAACTCACCTGAGACTTGACTCCAAGTGGTCCGTCTGGTTTGTTTTCCACTCCACTGTACCTGCCTGAAGTCTATGTGCTTTCTGTCCCACAGACCATTTCAGCATTGGTTAGTTCTAAACATAAAATGAAATGCCATGGTGTGGTAGACTAAGCTTCTTCCTTTGGCCCAGCATTCCATAGGAGCAGCAGTTCCACTTCCAATCCAGCTTCCCACCCCTACCCGCTTTTTGAAAATTTTTAAATTTTTATTGCAAAGGCAAATTTACAGAGAAGAGACAGAAAGAGAAAGATCTTCCATCTTCTGGTTCACTCTCTTAACAGCCACAATGGCCAAAGATGAGTTAATCTGAAGCCAGGAGTCAGGGGCTTCTTCTGTGTCTCCCACATAGGTGTGGGGTCCCAAGGCTTTGGGCTGTCTTCTACTTCTTTCCCAAGACATAAGCAGAGCAGCTGGGACACAGACTGACACTCATTTGAGATGTTGGTGTTTGGAGGTAAAGGATTAACTACTTAAACCAGAAGCCTGCCCTCCAGTTCCCTTCTTATGTCCTGGGAAAGCAGTGAACATTGCTCAAGTCTTTTGGCCCCTGTACCCACATGGGAGACCTGGAGGAGGCTTCTGGCTCCTGGCTTTGGATTGGATCTGTCCAGCTCCAGCCATTGTGGTCATTTGGTAGTGAACCAGTAGCTGCAAGATTCTCTCTCTCTCTCTTTCTCTCTGTAACTCTACCTTTCTAATAAAAAATAAACAAATCTTTAAGAAAAATAAAGAAAGACTATCACCTGGACAAGAAGTGTATTTAGGGCAACTCTCAAAAGGTTGTTATTGTGAGAGTAGAATTAGAGTGTATGTTAAAGTTTGTTACAAAGGATGAAGTAATTTTTAAGTGTGAGGTAATATTATTATCTAATAGATGTTAGATAATCTGCTAGTTCATTCTCTGGATGGTTGCAATGACTGGTTCTGGGTCCGAGCAGGAAGCAGGAGATTTTGCTAGGTCTCCCATGAGAATTGAAGGGGCTCAAGGTCTTGGGACATGAGTCAGAATCCTTACAGGAGATCAGTGATGCAGGCAAAAGCTTTTATCTGCTATATCACAATGTTTGCCCGTGAATTCTTTTTATTAAAAAGAATGATAAATGTTTAAGGAGATGGAAATGCTAATTACCTTGGATATTGTTATATATTGTCTATACATATCAAATTACCATCCTGTATCCAATGGATATTTAAAATTAATATACAATTTAAAAAATATAGTCGCCAGGTGAGTCTTAATTGTGTGTCTTACCAAGGGCTGTGTGAAAAGATTAAAAAGTAGATCAGGAGTCAAGTTTATGATAGAGTGATAATGCTAATTGGGGTTGGTCACATTGTACTACAGTTTAGACTATATTTGGAATAAAAAAGATACAAATATATTACACTGAATTCCAACTATTTATGCTTAACAGTTTAGGGTGGTTCTGTAAGAAACCAATCAAAAGTAAGTAATATATAAACAAAACTGTGACAGAAACAAATTCTGTTTTCATTGATTATACCAAAGTATTGATCCATATATTAAAGAAGCACTTATTTTCTCTCCTCCACTGGCTTACTTTCCAACTAATTATTTTAATCCAAACATCCAACACAGTATTTAAGCCTCTAATGTCATTTCTTAGAATCTTAATTTTGGAAAGGACCAACGTAATAATGATACTGCTAGGCCTGGTGTGGAAGCCTAGTGGCTAAAGTCCTCACCTTGTGTGCACCGGGATCCCATATGGGCACCAGTTTGTATCCTGGCTATTCCACTTCCCTTCCAGCTCCCTGCTTGTGGCCTGGGAAAGCAGTAGAGGACGGCCCGAAGCCATGGGACCCTGGACCTGCATGGGAGACCTAAAGAGTCTCCTGGCTTCAGCTTAGCTCCGGCCATTGAAGCCACTTGGGGAGTGAACCAGCAGATGGAAGATCTTTCTATCTTTCCTTCTCTCTGTAAATAATGACTTTCCAATAAAAATAAATAAGTCTTTGAAAAAGAAAATAATGATACTGCTACTTCTAATAGTAGCTGTTGTGTATGCAGCCAAACTCAGGGCTACGTGGTCTCCACTTGTTATCTAATTCAGTCTTCACAACAATCCTTAGGTGGTTTCTGTTTTCTCACTGTTTCATACAAAGGAAATTGAGATTTCAAGAGGATGTTTGTCTAAGGAAGGGGTCTCTCTGCCTGAGAAAACTGGCCAGCCCAACCTCCCTCTCTTTGTTCAGATTTCTTTGTTTACTTATAAACCCAACACCTTTATAACTTGCAGGCATCCCCTACTCTCCTGATTGTCCACCCAGTTTCCAGACTACCTCTCTGAGAAATACCTAGACTAGAACCTCAACTTTTGTCAAAGACACGTTCATAACAGAGATTGCCATCCCTGTGCCCCATATTCGATTGCATGGGTTACATCCCTGGATCCACTTCCTAATTGGCTTCCTGCCATTGCGTGCTCTGGGAGGCAGCAAGTGATGACTCAAGCAGCTGGGTTCCTGCCACCCACGTGGGAGACCCACATTGAATTCCTTGCTCCTGGCTTCAGCCTGGCCCTGGCCCGCTGTGCAGGCATTTGGGGAGTGAGCTAGTGGATGGAAATTTCCTCTGTCTCCGCCTTTCAAACAAAAACAAAAAAGAACAACAACAACAAAAAAATGCCTTCCTCAGAATCTCTCTCAAAATTTGTCAGTAAATCCTGGGTCATTGTCCTTATGAATTAATTCAATATAGAATGGGCTGATCCCTTCCTAGTAATGTTTATTCATTTTGACAGGGACTTTCTGAAGACAGTTGTTCAACCTGCAAGAGTGGCCTGTGGTTATCCGCAGGTGAAGAGGTGGCTGGTAGAGAGGCCTTTGTAACTGAGGGAGAGTGTAGGGAGGGACAGGGGTGACTTCAACGAAGGAAGCAGTGACTGAACTGGGAATCGTCAGTGACTTCTGTGGCTTTCAACTGATGGAGTTCAAACTTTGGTTTTATTTCTTAGATTTGTGATGCTGTAAAGGATTCATTCTATAAAGTGGGCCCACACTCTCAACACTTGGGAACATGGCAGTATATGAAAATAAGTTCTGAGGGTCCACCGTTTACTAAGAACTACCCTTGCATTTCAGTCTAAAAATATAAACAAAGATCGTCTGATTAATGTGAAGTAAAATGCAGAGGGAGAGAATAGTCTTTGAAACAATGTTATCATTAAAAGAAGTTGAACTTTTCTGTTATTGAACACTCATTCAGTAACAAAATCTACAACTCACAGTGTTGTGTTGTTCTTTTTAAAGCCCCCAGTTAAGTTCCTGTCAACAGTCCTTGGCAAAAGTAATCTTCAGTTTTCGGGAACAAATGTAAAACTGACCATCTCAACATGCAGCCTCACATTGATGAATCTTGACAATCAACAGGTAAGGCTGAGAATGTCATTTATGGTTTAGCACATCTTTGGCTTTTTTAGGAAAGCCTGAGAAAGAAAATAAACTTTCATACAACTTAATAAGGCACATATTGGTGTGGAAACAATGGTATTGCCCACTTTCCTGTAGCCCTTGACCCTTTGTACCCTAAACAACTAAGTAAGATTATTTAAAAAAAAATTATGGAGAGAAATAAAATAAATTATATCACAAATTATATAGTGTATTTTAACATAAAAAATAATTTAATAAGGCACAAAGGAAAGAAAAATATACCCAAAATGTATGCATAACAGTAATTAGAATGATATTATTTCTGGCTCAGCATAACTGCCTCTATACTTGCTTCTATCTAATTGGATAGAATTAATAAGTGGCAAGTATCATTTGATAACTGATATCCTTGATTTGGTCATTGACTGGTCCCTGCCAGTCCTCCCCAAAGAAAAAGCAATTCCCTATCAGCAGTCTGTGGGTTGGACAGAAGTGAAGAAGAGGGACAAAGTGGAAGGTGATGTCCCTGTTCTAGCTAACTGAAGTTGTAACAGAAGATGTTTCCGTCTAAGTCTTGTGGTCAAAACACTTTCTGAAATGCCGTTGTATGAACTTTTCTTCCTCGATGATGTACGGGACCTTACGTAATACTCATGCGTTTGCACCGTGGGCCTCAGTTCTCACAGAACAGCGTTGCTGACACAAACGCCAAAGATACACTGATGTTGAGCTAAAAATGCAGCCAGGAATCTATTTTACTTCTAATGCTTAAGGTTTCCATATATTGGGTTATTCATGTCATTATTAGAGTCTTTTTTTCTAACATGTAGGCATTTGAGGTTCTTCATACTTGAGGTTTTGCTGTATGGGAACATATGGAAAGTTTAATGGATACCTGGTAAGGATAAACACTAAGAGATTTTAAAGTATCATTGGGTTGAAATATTGGCCTTGCCGCATACCAGCGAGTTATTCAGCTAATCTAAATCTGATGGTTCTTTATCAGTGAAATGAAGAACTTATAATTTATTTATAGGGCTTCTCGGAGGATGGATGGTAAGGATCTCACAGGACTCTCTGGAGGATTCAGTGAGATGAGATGTGAATCACTTAACTCCGTGCCAGTCGCACTGTGCCCATTGTTGTTTACTCACTTCCTTTTTCAGAGATATTGTCATGCACTGAGTATTTAACACTGGGAGCACATACATTGTTAGTAACATAAAGGTATAGCTTTTGAGGGCAGCTTCAATCTCTAAATTCATAAAAGGAATAAAATGCATTAGTTACACAGTGGTTTAAACACGTCAGAGGAAAATGCTGAGTATGAAATAGATTCGTAGGTCTTCATGATTACTCAGGAGAGGTAATGACATTAGTATGATGTCATTTCAAATGATGGCGTGAGGTTTTGTATTTTCTTTCAGTTTCCCTCTTCGTGTGGTACTACAGAAAGTCAACGCCGTTAGTCCCGAGATCTCCCAGAGTACAGGAGCCCTTGAATGCCCTTATGGTTTAGTGAGGGAGGAGCAGGCAAAGTTGGAGCCATCCCAGAGGCAGCCTCAAGTGCAAATTCTAGTGATCATTTTTAAAACAGCTTTCTCCACAGGGCTCCACAAGGGAAGGGGGGATTCACAAAGAATAAGATTCTGGTATATCATCAAACTTCAAAATGTCCATGGAAAGTGGAAATGATGTTCATTTGAAGTCTGTCCAGTTTTTTTTTTTCATAATAATTGTAGACTTTTCATTAATTGTTTGAAGACCTCTCATATGCATAATTTCCAAAACTTCTGTGTCAACATTATCCTTTAATTTCACTTTCCATGATCTTTTTGAAGTAATCCCACTTGAGATTTATTCTCAGCTTCTATACACCTGCAGCACTGTTCTTTAGATCATAGCAGTCAATGTCTCTAATCCTTCAGGCAAGATGAGGTGGGGAAAATGGGCTTGGTGTTTCCACTACCAATTGCCACAGCAATGATGAACCACAGCATTTCTCCATTGGTGGCATAAATAAGAGCTGGGATAAGACTGTTGCTGCATTGAAGACCAATCTGAGGACATCATTATTTCACATCCAAGGGCTGATTTTAAATAACTGTCTTGTGCTATTTTACAAGTTGGGAGGAACCCGCTGGCGGTGAGTTGGGATGTGAATGCTTCAACTCAAAAAGCTGTACATACCCCATGAAAAGAGCAACTTATGGATATAGAAATAAAAAAGGAAGCTACCTCTTGATGGTCTGAAGTAAAAATACTGCCTGCCCCTCCCCCGATTTCTGAACTTAAGACTGAAAGGAGTTAAGGTTGATGGAAGTATTTGTCATAGCTGACAGCTCTAATTGTTCAGATTCATCGTCAGTCACTGAACACATTAATGTAACTATTTATTCCCATTTAAGGTTCATAGACCCTCAGAGGCAGAAGACAAAGTTATATTAAACAATTCTGGCAATTTAAAAAGTTACCCACATCCTGGGGTGGGAAAACACACTTCAGGAAAGCCAATACTAGGAGTTTCTGCATAGTGGTAGTTTTAAAGTCCAAGCAGCTCTGACACACCTTGTCCCCAAGGGATACATTTCAACACTGCCTCTGGATGCCTCAAACCATGGGTAGTACTGAACTCCATGTTTTGTTCTTATTATAGATCTTTGAGCCTCAAATTTTTAAAAATTATGACTTCTACTTTTATTATTATTATTTTTTTTACTTAAAATAAGCACTTTACATATTTTCCTTGGCATATCTCAATTGCCAGCATCTCTGTTCCTGATTTTATTTTACTCTGATTTTTCAAGTAAAATAACTGCAATAGAATCTAAAAAGAGAGATGGCTGCAAAGTGATTATCAGCGGGGTGGGGGGAGTATAAGCTGGATGGAGGGATAATTCCATCTCCCTCAGGACCGAGAACAGCTGGAGGTTTCATTCTGTTAGTACAATTTACAACTTAAAATATATGGTTTGTTTTTGTAACTTTCTCTTTTTTAAAAAGATTTATTTTATTTTTACTGGAAAGTCAGATATACAGAGAGGAAGATCTTTCATCTGTTGATTAACTCCCCAAGTGACTGCATGGCCAGAGCTAAGCTGAGCCAAAGCTAGGAGCCAGAAGCCAGGAGCCAGGAGCCAGGAGTCTCTTCCACATCTCCCATGCAGGTGCAGGGTCCCAAGGCTTTGGGCCGTCCTCGACTGCTTTCCCAGGCCACAAGCAGAGAGCTGGATGAGAAGTGGAGGAAGGTGGGGTGGTAGGATGTGGGAGGGGGGAGGCGGGTGGGACTAGAATGGGTAGCCATATGGGATCCCGATGCGTGCAAGGCAAAGACTTTAGCTTCTAGGCTACCTCACCAGGCCCTCTGTAACTTTCTGTTTGTTATTCTGGAGTGAAGTCCACCCAGAATTAACTGAAACCATGGATGGTATTTCAAGGCCCTAAGTGGTAGCTCTAACTATTTACACCTTGTCACAGCTATTACTAACTCTAACAGCTACTGAATTGTCAAAAGGAAGCAGAGATGAGAAGGTAAAATGGGCCTGGAGCAGGAAATGAAGAGGTTGTTGTCCAACACACGAAAAGCAGTGCTGGGGGCACAGGCATCACCGGCAAGTGCTGCTTTGCCACTGCGCTGGGGGGCCAGTGCTGGAGGAGCAGGCAGGCCGACCGCCGTCCCTTATTACAGGTGATTCAAATGTTTTCTCTCATGCCAGACTGTCCAAGCTTGTCAGATCAACTTTAAAAACAACAACAAAACACCATTTTGGGGTTTTTGGCTGTGTCTGGAGGAAGATGGTGGTCTCTAAGGCAGTTAAAATTAGAAGCATAAGGAAAATATAACCTGGAAGCATGAGGAAGATACAACCTGGGACCCTGATGGTAGCCAGTGTGGGATATCTGATCCATGCAAACATTTACAATACATATGGATGGTCTGACCACCATGCCCCATCACATTACAAACTCAGAAGGTTCTTACAAGTCCCTTACAGCTGGGCCCGGCGAGATGGCGCAGTGGTTAAGGTCTTTGCCTTGCACGCCCGGGATCCCATATGGGCACCGGTTCTCATCCCAGCAGCCCTGCTTCCCATCCAGCTCCCTGCCTGTTGCCCGGGAAAGCAGCCGAGGACAGCCCAAAGCTTTGGAACCCTGCACCCGCGTGGGAGACCCAGAAGAGGCTCCTGGCTTTGGATTGGCATAGCATCGGCCGTTGTGGTCAGTTGGGGAGTCAATCATCGGATGGAAGATCTTCCTCTCTGTCTCTCCTCTCTGTATATCTGCCTTTCCAATAAAATAAAATAAATCTTTAAGAAAAAAAAGTTCCTTACAGCTCCCCTGTTCCTGTGGCAAATCAGTATAAGAGAACTTCCCCCCAATTTAGTTCCTCCAAAATGAAGATAGAGATCATATATATACATATTTATGTTGATCCCAGTTTAACTATTATGTCCAATTGTCCTATTCAGAGGATTAAACAACTTAAATTGAGTGACAAATACGTCACTTAAGATAACTCAACAATTTACCCAGTAATTGAACTAACTGGCAGAGCCCAAATCTGAATGTTTTAGAAAATGTTACCTTTTTCTACCTTTAGTAAGTAAGAACAAGTATAATTAATTAATCTAAGTGGCGTCTCAGCTTACTGCTTGTTTTTAAGAGTGCCTACCCTATCCTCAGTCAGCTGCAGAGCGCGCATCTCCCAGGCCAAGTCCTCAGATCCAACAAATGGCTTTCCATTCCTTCCTTGCTCCCTGGGAGAGGCGCCACACTGAGCTGTAACTGACCACGCATTGTGCCCTGGTGTCCCCCCTCCTGTGGAGGCTTCCATTTACACTGCACATCCAAGCAGCTGCCTCCTCTGACTCCAGGCACAAACCAGATGAGGACTTGGCGGAAGTGAGGCAGGGAAACAGGGTGAGAAGGATGTTTAAGTGGTAACTTTAGTATTTTTCCCCTCTCCTCCCTGCTCCCAAACCAAGCTGGTGGGGAACAATCTTGATTCTCCTTACTTGGCACAGTCTTGTATTTAAAGGGGTACCACGCTCCCCCTCCAACCCTCAGCAGGATAGGATTACTGTAAACTAAAGGAACTTCTGAGTTATCCTGTTATATTTGAGGGGCCCTTTATTGCATAAGGGAGCATCTGGAACCACGCTATTGATCCCAATAACACCTGATATACTCCTGTGCTTGGCACAGCCTCCTGATGTAATGAATACTCTCGCAGAGACCAACCATCTAATCGCAGCCCAGACAGGTTCCCCTGAGGTGGTAAACTCTATGGGCAACACTTACTTACTGAGTTGAACTTTCAGAAACTCATTTGTAAAACAGGTATTGTAAATTGGGATTATGTTCCCCTTAGAAAAATAATGGTTACGTTTAAATCATAAAATGGATGCAATTCATAGAATAAAATGTAGCATATAAAAATATGTCTATAATGCTATTAGCCAGACAAAAATATATACAACAAGGAATTTTATTAACATCAATGCTGGTGCATAACAAATAATATGCTTAATTCGAGGAGGAGACAAAGAGAAACTTCAGATACTGAGTTGCATTTCTGGGCAGATTAAAACCTTGAGAGGTCAACAGTACCACCGTTCATAAAGCTTCTAGATGTAGAGCTTTCCCTCGATAACGGTCACCAAGCGTTTGTAGAGTAAGAAGTTCCACCAGTCTTTTACCTGTCAGGTTAAAAACAAAGCAAGCAGAACAACACTTGTCCAGTAGGTGAGGGGGGTGAGAAAGCTTTTCTTTGTACTTTTACCTTCATTTTGATATCTACATTTTAAACTTTTTATAGGTTGCTTAACTTTTGACTTTTAAAAGCAGTCATTACAATCGATTTTTCAGATTATAGAGCAAACAGCTTTATAAGCAATCTAGACAAATGTACCGACATGATCTCAAGATGCTCTTGGCGACGCGTCTGAAGATGCCACGTGTGTGGTGAACACTTCTGAGTTCGTGCATCCATTTGGATAATGAAGAATACTCAATTTACCTTACACTGAAATCCTTGGATAGCCATAGCAGAAATAGCTCATAATGTGTGATTTCCGAAGTTTTCTAACAGGCTTGCAATCCAAAGAATCTTGTGGGTACTTTTTTTTTTCCCATCATATAATTATGATCAGTGGGCTCTTACATTGGCTGCTTGTCTTGGTCGTGAAGTACTCCTGCAAAACCGTTTGTTTTTTCAATGCTTTCCCAACGCACAGAAAATAACTTGGGTTATTCACCAAATTCTAACGCCAGAGGCCTTTTAGGGTGTTGCTGACAAGGAACTTGAGCAGTCCTAACTCCTCCTGCTCTTCCTAACTGCACTGCCTAGGTCCCATTGTCTTGCATTTGGAAAAAAAAAAAAAAAAAAAACAAAAACAAAACCAGAAACAGCTTCTTGTAGTGACGGAGCTTATCTGCAACGACCCCCGGAGAAAAGCGGCGTGCCGGGGTCCCTCCTCGAGTCAGCGCGGAGCCTCTACTCCCTGTCCACTATCTCATCGCAGCCCAGTTCCTCCGTGAGACGGTTGACCACCATGAGCGAGAAGAGTTCCTCGATAAAGGCCAGCTGATCAAACGGGGTCTTCTCGTAGTGCATCTGGAAGCCGCCCTCCAGCGCGGCCTGGCGCGCTCGCGCCGTGCCCAGGAACATCTTGTTGGCCTCCTCCAGGGCGGCCGACACCCGGTAGCCCGCGGCGCTCAGCGGCTCCTCCTCGGGGTAGTCGTAGTCGTCCTCCCAGTCGTCAAACTCCTCGTCCTCGCTCTCCCCCTCGGCGCCCTGCTCCCCCGGGCCGCGTCTCCGCGCGGGCGCCGCCATGGGCTGGGCCTCCTCCTCCTCCTCTTCCTCCTCCTCCTCCATCGGGCCTTCCTCTTCCAGCTGCAGCGCACTCGCCGACGGCTCTCGGGCCCCGCCGCCTACCTCCATCTGCGGAAGGTCCCCCTCGCCGGGCATCACGTCCATCTGCAGGTCACCGCACTCTTCGAACAGCTCCGACAGCTCGGCCATCTCCGACATGGTGGCAAAAGCGCTGGCAGCAAAACGAGAGCGACGCGGCCGTGCGGCTGTGCGCGTGCGCCAGCCCGATGCGCATGCGTGGCCCTCAGCCGCCGCCCCCCGCGTGGGGCGCGTACTCGGGGGCTGTGCGCGTACTCGGGGGTTGTGCTCCTGCTGGGGCGTGCTCGTGCTCGGGGCCGTGCGCGTGCTCGGAGAGCCTGTCTGCCAGGGCAGACCCAGCTGCAGCTGAGCTCTGCCCTAAGGATGCTCAGGCTGCTGTCCCTGGCTTGCCTGGTCTCCCGGGCAATCGTTAAGCCCCGCCCCTTTCCTCATCTCCCAGGCAACCAGAGATTGCTGACTCCAACCACAGACCTCTGCCCACGTAGATTCTGCTCATTTTTGTCATCTAAAACTCATCAACCTTTTTTTTTTCACTTGCAGTATTCATATTGGGTATTACCCACCCCCAGGACAGTTTTTTCAAAAAATCATTTTTCAGAGTATATTTTGATCTCATAAGGTCTGTGAGGCATTCCTTGCTTGGTTGTCTCAGTAGATTCTAGCATGCAGTTATGCAACACAGTATATAGTGCATGGTAATGGTGTTTCAAGTTTGTAAAACCTGTTTATCTTCATTTATTGGAAAGGCAAAGAGAGAATCTCATCTGTAGATTTCCCCCGCACACCAGCCACAGCCAGGGTTATGCCAGGTTAAAGCCAGGAGCCTGGTTAGCCACTCTCACAAGGGGGGGGGCATCAGCTGTGCCTCCCACAATGTGCATCAGAGGAAGTTGGACCAGAAGCAAGCCCCCGAGACTCAAAGCAGGCAGTATCCCAAGGGGGGACTTAGCCAACTTCCTGCTAATGTGTGCCCTGGGAGATGGCAGGCAACGGCTGGAGCTGAGACCCAGAGTGAGCGCCTGGCTCTGGACTGGCCCAGGCACAGCTGGTGTAGGTATTAGGGAGAATGAACCAGCAGACAGATCTGTCTCTCTTTCAAAAACATTAAAAAATGAAAGTTCCCCTGGCTAGTTTCACTTCAGAATGCAAAGCTTGAGGTTAGACTTGGTCTAATAATCATCAGCCCTGTGGCTCCAGCAGCCTATATGTACACTATATGGTCCAGTACCCATCCAACTCTCCACTTAAGGACTGGGAAAGCAGCGGATGACTCGAGTCTTGGGCTCCTGAACTCATGCAAGAGACCCAGAAGAGGCTCTTGGCTCCAAGCTTTGGATCAGCTCAGCTCTGGCCATAGCGGCTGTTTGGAAATGAACCACTAAATACAAGATGTTTTGTCTCTCCTTCTTCTCTCTCTGTAAAAATCTTATTTTTAAATAAAAACAAATAACACTTTGAGTAAAAAAAAAAAAAGACCAGGATGCTTGATCAGGACACTTTTAGAGGAAGTGACTGCAACTGAATTCAAACTTTGCCAAAATAAATAAATAACAGAAAAATAGAATGAGAAGAGATAAGCATACTGACTGTCGTTAAAGACCCAATGTTACCACCAAACATTTTCTATTTTTCACTTTTAGCTCTGATATTTCTCCCAAAGGAAAGATTCATGCTCCAGCAGGCTTTTCTCACACAGTGCCGACGATGGTTTCCATGAACTTTTGTGCTTGCATGGCAGAGAGAGAGAGATGCTTTCTCGTCTGTTATCCCTCTCAGTTCATCCAGAGAAACACTGGATGGCTCTTGTGTATCCAGATGGCATTTTTGGGTGGGTTAGACCTGTATCATGCATTCCTCTGAGTGGGGAGGTGTAGTGACAGGGTCCTGTCAAACCTATGTGAGTCTCACGATGTGAGATTATTGTGTGGTGGGTGGAGTGGTTTCCCAAGGAGACTCCAACAGGCTTAAATCCTCCATTGCTCGGCTGTGTCTAGGAAGGTAATTTATATCATCATGCATGTCTAACTTATGTTTTCCAGATTATTGCAAATCACCATATGCAGTCTATTTCCTTTGCTTCTGGAGGGGATCCTGTAAGTATAGGTTCTTAAATTTCTTTTGCTGAGAGTTAAATCCATGCCTTTTTCTGTTCTAAGTGTTAAAGTTTGTGTTAACTGTAACATCTAATAAAAAGTTTGACTTAGGGAAAAAAAGATATATATAATTTGTCACTGAACTGAAAACATGTGGATGAACAGATGAGCTCCATCATATTACCAGCCATCTGTCATCTGGTAGACCTCTTGTCTATAACATCTGAGTCAAGAGTTGCAAGTGTGACATCCACATATGGCCAGGGTTCCCTCAGAACTCCCATGCTTACTAATCCTTTGTCATGTGAGAGGATGCCTCTTTGCCATCATAGCTGTCAATCAAGGCAACTAACTAATCTAGAATGAACAGCCAGGCTTGCAGATCGCCATGGAGGGAAAGCCCAGCTGGGAGCAAGAATGTGTCAGTTCCCTCTACCAAGAGGCCATGTGGCACTTGTGCATCACAGTGATGCAGGACTCTGTTTCCAGACATAATCTGTAGGTTGGACTTCCTGCTGCATCGTGGCTGGACTGCAGAAAAGGAGAGGGTCCTTCAAGCTGGGGAATCCACGGCTGCATGAGGAAAACACAAATCTGTTGAAACCGATAGAGTTCAAAAACAACTTTGTTCTTGTTTAATGTGGAGGATCTTTTTTCTTGTACTTGTAAACATAGAAAAGTTTGGAGGAGGAGAGAGGATGGCTTTCATGATAAATATAGAAATAGTGAACAGGAAAACACATGGGCTAACAGAGTATATTACTTTATTTTGTGCAAAGCATTTTTTAAATATTGTGCCACCATAAAATAACAAAATCCAGTCCAACAATTCATTTGCTTTCTACCTGCCGTGTTTGCCTTTTGGTTTCTGATTGAGGCATGAAACTTAGTATCTTAAAAGATAAAACACATAATCCAGAAACCCAAGAGAGAGCTGGACAGTGGTGAAAACTAGATATGCAGCTGGTGTCATTGCTAAGTTTTGATTTGGCTAAATATTTAAAAGAAGCCAAAAAAAAGGTCTTCTAAAAAGAAAATTCTGAAGCAACTAGGTGTGATCATTGGTTATTTATGTCATCTAAAGTATTTAAGCGAGTTCCTTTCCTGCCGTGTTGGTGTAGCTTTGTTATGTGTAATATGTCGAGCTGAATGCTATTTTAATCAAGTCTTTCTTGAAAACATTTCTACAGTGGCGTGTCCTGGCTACCAGGAACCCAAAGTATTTAGGTGTAGCAAGTCTAGATACTCTGCCTTTGGAACTTCTTTGATGCACATGGGAGAAAGAAGCCTTTACAGGATCTCATATAATTTTCTTTTTTCTTTTAATGATAGATACTCACTTTTCTTTTCAGAATTCACTAGTTCTCCATCTTTCAGTCTTGGGTTTGGTTACTTTTCCAGTGTTTGAGTTCCGTCATGCTATTATTTAAAAATAAGCCAAATTTAAAGAATGCCACCTTTTCCCCCAGGAAATTCCATAGGTGGCTAATCGTGGTTTATTTAGTAAATGGAGAGTGTGTTGGGTGGTTGGCACTTAGCAGCTACCATGAGTCTTTATTCTCATCCACACAGCCTTTTACTTCAGCTTCAACAGTGACACCAGAGCTTAGGAAGCAGAGAGAGTTGACTGAATCCAGGATGGGAAAAAAATGGCAAAATAGTCTCTTCTCTGCCTAAGTCATTGCTGATTGGTCATCAGTGAAGGAATGCAAATACTCTGTGGAAAGAAAATTTCTATAAATGTGGTCTAAAAAAACAATTTTTGGTGTTTGGTGTTTGTGCTGTGTTTTCCTTTCCATGTTTCCAGAGCTGCCACCATTTTAGGACATGGGCCCAAATCTTCATATACCCTGAACATGCCTGACTTCTACATATGTTCTCCAGCATCTTAATTCTTTTCATTTCATCTTCATGTGCCTTTCATTTTTTAGCTCTTTCAACTCACCAAAGCAGAGCCCATTGCAAGACAACAGGATTGAATTCATAGTCACTAGGGGAAACTTTGAACTGGCTGAATCGAGTGGGTCCCATGTGTTCTTGGCAGCTGGAGGGAAAACCTGTGACTTGTGGATTTAAAATAGAAACAGGGAGCCACCCTTGGCATTGCATTGGGAATGCCCTCAGTAGAGTAGTTTACTTCATTTCAGGGAGGTGCTGGGTGTCATTCCAGGCTTTGGGGTCAAGTAAATTTGGCATGTGAAAGCTCTTGATACTTCAGGATTCTCATTTGTTGCAGAGGGGTTGATCTGTACCACCTCATGGCGTTGTGAGGATTGGGCACATGCAGAGTGCCAGCGCAGTGCCTGGAACACAGCCACAAGAGGGAAAGGCTACCACGAGCACTGACACATGGCCATATTTTTTCAAGTTACTCACTCAGTTTGCAGTTTCACAGCTAGTTCAGTACGAGGGGCAGGAAGTAGAGTTCCAGGTCTCCAAAGTTCAATGTAGTAACCGGATTTCAGCAGGAGTGCGGATCCCCCCCTTATCTTCTGACCTTTGTTGGTTGGCACACACCTAGCCAGTCCCCAGAAGCAGTGCCCTTGTTTTCCTGTCTCAGCCGTGAGGACAGCTCTTGGTCTTGCTTCTGCAGCTCTGGAGCTTTCTCAAGGGCATTGTGGGTGTGCACAACAGTCACTGCGCTTTCATACTTCCTTTGCTGGCCATGCTTTGCTTCTAGCATGATTTTACTTCTCCCAGATGTTCACAGCTGCAGAATTTTAGGACTGAAAGAATGGTGGAGGCTTACTGAGGGGGAGGAGACAGGTCAGCACTTCATCTCAAAAGCCAGACATCATTCGCCACCTGCCACCTTTTCACTTTGGTAATAGTGCTCAAGTCCCAAGCAGTTATGGCTTTCCCTCCAAAGTAATAGAACCACAAAGCTCATGTGTAGGGCCTTATTTATTTCAAAGTCATTTCGAACGTTCTTTTTAGATGAGAGACATGTACTTAAGTGTGTGCTATTTCCTAAATTAAGCAAGACAGGTTTTGCTGACCCTGGGGTCTGCTGCCAGTGTGACTCACGGTGACTATTAAGTGGTTGTCCTTGAGGGTACTGCAGACATGGGCTTTTATTTCCTGCCAGCTGATTGCATCTTCCCCCAGAAGAGTCACTGTTCTCATTTGCAATTGGCAATGCATGTATTTTTTTTTCCTTGAGAATTGACATAATGCAAAGCATGCTTAATTGTTCAAATCTTGTCATTCATCACCTTGCCACTTTTAAAAGATGCTGGGATCACTAGTGGCTTATTTGTGTTTGAAAATCAGTATAATATCTCTTTTTCAATTTTAGTTTCCTCTGGATTCTCTTTTTTTTTTTTTAAAATGACTCACTCTTTTTTGGGCCCAACGCAATAGCCTAGTGGCTAAATCCACACGTTGCATCTTCTGAGATCCCATATGGGGGGTTTGTATCCTGGCTACATCACTTCCCATCCAGCTCCCTGCTTGTAGCCTGGGAAGCAGTTGAGGATGGCCCAAGTCCTTGGGACCCTGGACCCACATGGGAAACCTGGAAGAAGCTCCTGGCTTCACATTGGCTCAGCTCTGGCTGTTGTGGCCACTTGAAGAATAAATCAGCGGATGAAACACCTTTCTCTCTGTTTCTCCTTACTTCTATAAATCTGCCTTTCCAATAAAAAAGTAGTAAAGTTTCAAAAAGAATGACTCTTCTATTTTATATACACTACTGAGTGGGTGCATTGCATTGTTGCTTTTTTATTCGTTAAAGCTGACTGCGCTTTGCACCAGCAAGCTAACTATCACTATCACAAACCCCAACCTGTTTCCTTCAATCAGCTTATTTTTTCTGGTGTATATTGGCAACTATTTGGAAAAGAGAAAGCAGGATACCACATCCTACCTTATATATCCCAGCGACTAAACATTCCTGAAATTTCACCTTTAAACGTGGGAGAGAACCATAATCCCTAGCTACTTTTTAAAAAAAGATCTATTTCTATTGGAAAGGCGGATATACACAGAACAGGAGAGACAGAGAGGAAGATCCTCCATCTGATGATTCACTCCCAAAGTGGCCGCAACAGTCGGAGCTGAGCCCGTCTGAAGCCAGGAGCCAGCAGGAGCCTCCTCCAGGTCTCCCACACAGGTGCAGGGTCCCAAGGCTTTGGGCTGTCCTCGACTGCTTTCCCAGGCCACAAGCAGGAAGCTGGGTGGGAAGTGGGGCCGCCAGGATTAGAACCTGTGCCCATATAGGATCCCGGCACGTTCAAGGTGAGGAACTTAACTGCTAGGCCATCACGCCAGGCCCATCCCTAGCTACTTTCTAAGAATATATCCTGACATATTCATTATCTGCATTCTCTTATTCTGCATGACAGTCTGCTTCTAAAATTTTACTCTTTACATTCTTTCTCTAAAGGGAAACACTTATGGAATCCATAATTATTAAACTGCTGTGTGCTTGTGCTCTTCTCTGTAACACTTAACATTGATGTCTAAGCTCTTCCTTAAAGTATCATGTCCTAAAGGTACTCTTACCTTTCAGCATGTAATTCATTCATTTTAAATACAATTGTTTTCCATTTTTTTCCTAGGATACCACAGACTATGTTGCCTACGTAGCTAAAGATCCAGTTAATCAACGAGGTATGAAAAATAACTTCCAAGATTTTCTTAAGAGCTGGTATATACTAGCTTTAAAAAGCAGCAATAAGTTGTTTTCAATATGCGTGATGATTGGTAACACAAAGCACCGTGTTGCATTCTAGAAACATTTTATGAATTTGAGTTGGCTTGACCCTGCTGGGGCCAGTGTTATGGTGCCGTATGTTCAGCTGCTGCTGTGACAGCTGGCATCTTATAGCGAGAGTGCTGGCTCCAGTCCTGGCTGCTTTGCTGCTCATCCGGCTCCCTGCTAACATGCTGGAGAAGAAGCACATGGATAGCCCAAGCATTTGAATCCCTTCCACCCACATGGGAGACCTGAGTGGATTCCTGGGTTCCTCCCGGTCCTGGTTATGCCAGCTACTTGGGGATATGAACCAGATTATGGCAGAGTCTCTCTGTCTTTATCTCTGATGTCAGTCTGTCTGTAATTGAACAATCGAATCTTAAAAAAATTTTTTTTAAAGGCCCTACTAGCTCAGTAAACAGGGAGGCAATTTTGGTTATGAGAAAGGGGCTGGCTGACATTGCACCAATCAATACACAAATGAATTACCTATAAGAGTCAAGCCAATGATGCTATTGGCCTGCATTGAGCTTTACATATACACGTGTGTGCGTGTGTGTGTGTGTGTATGTAGCATGTGCATTTGTTTAAGAGCAGGATGCCACTTCTCATCTAAATGCCTCTTCTTCAGAGAGATTTCGTTTCAATGGTAGTTCCTCCAACTTGTAGTAGCATAAGTCACCCTGCTGTGTTATCACACTTCATTTCTCTGGTCAACATTTACACCATACTCTGTTTTACCTACTCGTCATAGCTGTTGCTTTCTTTCATGCATCTGTTCAGCTAGGCTGAATGGTTCATGAGGACAGAAACCCGTTTTTCAAACTTATGTTCTACCTGTTATTTTGATGTCCAAAAAATCATTTTGTGGAATAAATGGACAGTCCGTGAGTTGACAGCTAGGTTGGCTAAGCAGTTCATCTTGTTGCTCCAGTTGAGTTCCCTGTAGACAGATGTGGTTAGTGTTGTTCTGATCGCTAACACTGGGATGCTAAGACAGCTGCTAGCGATGAGTGTTAGTTTGGTTCTCCTCCCTAACCTAGAGTCCATTACTTAAGTGACAGCATCTGCTGCTGCCTGGATAAAGTTTGCATTAGATGAACATGAAGCAGGATTTGGAAACTTAAAGAGCTTTTGGGAACAAAGGTGAAAAAGCACACGATTTGTTGGGGGCCACATGAGGAGGGTGCCCTAGACCACAGAATACATGCAGAGGAAGAAAAAGGGTGTTCAGATTGCAGAGAGGAGAAGGCCCAGTGAGTAGGGCTTAGTTGGATGAGCAGGAGTACAGATTGTTGTTTACGGAGCAGAGCTCAGGAAGGATGGACTTGGCAGTGCGATGCACCGGGAATGAATTCAGGAAGAAGTTTGAGGCAGGGAAGTCCGTTTGGAAGAGCTGAGATCGTCAGATACGAAATGATGAGGAGCATGCATTGGAACGGAGCCTGGAGTGAACTAGATGCTCAGTGAGTCGTTGCCAAAATAACACGGCCTTCCTCAGATGGAGAGGGAAGAGCAGATGACAAACACCCCCAAAATACCTCATAGAGATTAACTCACTTTACTGTAACTGGTGAAGGATGGGCACCAGTCAATGGATGGGTAGGAGAGACAGGAACTGGAGAAGGGGCTGGAAGAACCCAACAAAGAATATCAGAAACAAGTCATTTCTTTCATCTTTGCTTGACCTTCTCAAAGAATAACTCCTCACTGTGTTTAGCAAAGCCTCTAAACAGTAAAACCCTCCCCGCCCCCGCCCCCTTTTTCATCCTGAGTTGAACAGGATAAAAGAAAGAAAGAAAAAAAAAATGCACCAAGACATCAAGATATTTGGTAACTTGGCTACCAGTCACCGACTGTGTTTGTGTCCTTGCTCGTAAGTGAATGGTAGGAAGGATTCAAACACAAAGCTGATGGCACTGTGTAGTGCCAGGAAGGGCCCCATGCTTGCAGAGATCTGCTGGCTGCAGTGTGTTCTCTTAGATGGCTCGTGCCCTGGACCCAAGCAGTGTGACAGGCTGGAGCTGCCCACAGTGGAGCCATGCAGCTCCTGGAGTGCAGACCTCTGCAGGGTTGAGTGAGGCTGTGGGTGGAGTCTGAGGAATGGGAACAGTCCAAAGAGAAACTTCAGTTTCTTCTTCCTTTATTCAGTGGCCTGAAAAATAAGAGATAGAGACTAAGATATAGGAAATAAGGTTGTTGCTGGAGTCAGCAGATATCATTTTTCTTTATGACCCTAGGCAGATTGTTTTATGCCCTCAAACTTTAACTTCTTGATTTTTGTCGTTTAAGTTGGAATGATGGCACACACCTCCTGGTGTTGTTAGGTTGAATAGCTTAGGAAACATGGAGAGTAATATTTACTCTTTCTTCATCTCATCTTTTTTATTTTGCAAAATAGGTCTGTTTTCGTAGGTAAACCATTTAGAATTTTTCATATTTAAAAGTTAGTGGGTTCTCATCACTAATTTCTTCTTTTTTTCCCCCTCTTGCTGTTCCTCTCATGAATATTTTTATTTTTATTTTTGTTTCTCATGATACAGTTGCATGGATTCAGGGATTTCCCCTTCCACCCTCCTTACTTCCCCTCTGTCTCCCTCCACACGCTCTTTCCCCTCATATTGTTACGATAATGTGGTCCTTGAATGACAGTCGCCAGTCCATCATTCTGCTGTCTGAGCGCATCATGACATTGTGGGAATAGACAGTGTAAACACTGTGTAAACGTATAATCAGAGTCCTGTTGTCAAGTCTCATCGGAGTCTTTTATTCGGGAATAGAGATGCATGCTGCACTGTATCTTCTTTTCTTGGTATGCTTTTTTTTCTTATACAGTTCCTCCAGATGATTAGATGTGGATACTTGTCTACCTATATATCTGTTGATCTTGTGTTTTGCATGTATCTTGTTAGTGGAATCTCTGTGAGAAGGCACTGTGCGCTTGCACCTCCCTCTAGTGTTAAGCTTTTCCCCCACACTCGGATCCTTGGTCCCCACAGTGCCTGGAAAGAGTAGGTGATGGCACCGTTGTGCGACTACAGATTACAACCTAATGCACAGGAATGAGCTGATCACTATAGAACACAAGGGATTCCTGGCCATCGTGGACTCAATAGCTTGTGGAGCGGACAAGCCTGGCCTGGGAAGATGTGCACAGAGGAGTGGTGGCTGTAGAACGTGTCTGGGGTGCAGCAGGTGCTCAGTGAACATCTTTGAAATGAATGAAGGCACAGGTGAAAGGCCAGGGCACTGAGAGCCCGGGGACCTGTGTCTGGACACTGAGTGTGTGGGCAGGGGACTGTTGCAGGGACAGGAAAGAGCAAAAGCCAGGAGTGGGGGGACAGTCATAACTGAAAAGATAGGCCAGGAAGAGATTGTGGAAGGCATGTGATGGCGGCCAACAGATTATCAGGATCATGAAAGATTTTTAGCTTTATAAAAATTACTCGGAGTAGTGGGGGCTGGTGTTGTGACGGAGGTTAAGGTCTTGCCTACAGTACTAGCATCCCATATGGATACCAGTTTGAATCCAAGCTGCTGCATTTCCTGTGAACTCCCTGCTAATATGTCTGAGAAAGCAGTGGCTGATAGTCTGAGCACTTGGGTCCCTGTGCCCTTGTGGGAGGCCCAGGTCCAGCTCCTGACTCCTGGCTTTATCCTGGTCCAGCCCTCGCTGTTGCAGCCATTTGGGGAAGCTAATCGGCAAATGGAAGACCTCTCTCCTCTCTCCCTCTCTCTCTCTCTTTTTTATCACTTCCTCTCTTTCTTTCTCTTTGCCTTCCCTTCTCTCTCTTCTCTAACTCTGCTTTTCAAATAAATAGATAATTCTTGACAAAAAAAAGATCATTCTGGTCTCTGCCATCCTGAAAAGTGATAAAATGATCGTTTGGCACCTACAGAGGTGATATTGGAGAGGAGAAAGGCCAGACTGGAAGTGTGGAGCCCAGTCCAGAGGGTGTGTCCCCAACCCGAGCACAGCTGGCGTTGCTGCAAAGTTGTGATTTGAGAGTACCTGATGACTGTTTGCATCCATGCATCAATGAAGTCATAGCAATCAGATGTTCCTGAGGATTGAATGACACAGTGCAAAGATTTCAGTGCCTGGTTCACACCAAGTATGCAGCAAATGGCTGCCGTCATTTTCAGTGTTAGAGTCGTGTGGCTACTAATGAAACAGAAATTCTTACAAATAGGAAACAGGCAACCCAATACAAAAATTAGGCAAAGAGGGCCCAGCACATTGGCTCAGTGACTAAATCATTACCTTGCCAAGTGCTAGGATCCCAGCTTGTGATCAGAGAAAGCAGTTGAGGATGGCCCAAAGCCTTGGAACCCTGTAGCTGCATGGGAGACCTAGAAGAGACACCAGGCTCTTGGCTTCAGATCAGCTTAGCTCTGGTCACTGTGGCCATTTGGAGAGTGAACCAGCAGATGGAAAATTTTCCTTTCTATATATCCTTCTCTTCGTAAATCTGATAGATAAATCTAAAAAAAAATAGGCAAAGAAAGATAGCTACCATTTATTGTATGCCAAGCATATACCAAGTGTTGTACTTTTCATTTCTCAATTTCACCCTCACAGTAGTAGTGAAGCAGAAACTAATGGTGCCCAGCCCAGCCCCTCGCAGGCAGCAGGTCACCTAGGAGAGGGCATGCTGGCAGGAAGTGCAGCCAGCAGGCAGGCTCCACACCAGTCCTGCTGGACGGTCTGCCATTCCCTGTGCTGGCTGACCTGTTAGCATTAGTACATCTGATCAGAGCATTGGCCCCTTTCACCCCTCCTGCCTTCATGCACAACTCATGTCATAGCGACTCACTCTGGCTTTTCTGTGGCAAAGGCAAGTGGAAGTAGCAATGACTGGCATTTACGTAGTGAGGAACACAGCTTGTGCCTGGGATCGCTGTGGACGAGGCA